TACACCCTCGTGTTTCTCTTCCGTTCCCCGCGACTCTCGTGCGGGACCCTCTCTTTATCCCTCCCAGTGTGAGCCGTATATCGCACAATCGCGGGATGAATACGCCAGGAAGCTGCGAGACACGCACTATTACCGAGGCGTCACAGGGAGACAATATTATGACGTCTCTATCCGGGAGTGCTGCAGCCCCCGTGTTACAACCAACGGCCATTATCCATCCCAACCCCCCCCCTTCCCCTGCTCTCCCTCTATCATGGGGCTTCGCACTTCACGCTTCATGCTAATATAATCGATCCGGCGTCTAGCCATTTTCAACCCTCATCGCGAGGGACACGCGTTCTGCTCATCTACAGTCATTGTTCATTTATCATTAATGTTTTATGCATTTTTTCAATTCGTGGTGTCCTGCGATTTCGCGAACCCGAAAATTGTCTCGGAAATTTTTGGCAGTTTTCTTGGAAATTTTTGTCGTATGTGACATTTCCGCCGATAATTCGAGGAATTTCGTCGTTGAAAATTGACAATTTTTTTATGAAAAAAATCGATTGAAAGGTGATAGATTTTTCATTTTTAGGTGATTAATTTATTAAGTCAATTTAATTTAATATTCATTTGAGATTTCAGTTCAGTTATTGTGTCAAAATTAGGGGAAAATTAAAGTAAGGTGCATATATCCTTGAATTTTCATGTTCATGAAAATTATAATGAGTTGGAGAAGTCCCGTCTTCGTACTACTTAAAATTTAGGAATTTTATTGAAATTATGGATAAAAATAGTTTTGGTTTTTCGGAATTCGCGACATTCTAAATTTCAGAGATAGTGAACCCCTAGCTTAGGGTGATCTAGTTAGTGCCAAGAATCGATGAAAATTGTGGATGAATGAAATTTGAAAGTTCATTATTTTTTGCATTCAGTGTCATTTCACTAAAAAATACTACTATATATCACATGAAGTATTTACATATGACCGTATATGGCCCAAAAATATATAATCGATTAGTAATAGTAAAAAAGACAGAAAAGACGGTTGAATCGAAATGTATTAAGTATTAACTACTAAATATAAAAAAATTACCCTTTCACTGGAATTCACGTCTAATCATAAAAATTACAAAATTTCCACTCATGTTCGTTAATGCCTGAAATACTGCGAATAATATCATTACAAAGACACAAAAACTCCCTTCAAAATTAAGAAATAAATTACTCATTTTGCCCCAGTGGTTCCTAAATCATTACAAAAACTAATTCAGTAGCGAAGTGGTAAAACGGTGCGAGTCAATTTTGACTATTGACCAGTTTTCAATGAATATCTCGGAATCTAAGGGAGATAGCAAAATTTTCGTTATAACCTTTTTTGTAGCCCCGATTGAGAGCTACAAGAAATGTCATTACGAAAATTTCGCCATCTCCCTTAGATTCGAAAATATTCCTCAAAAACTCAACTGGGAGATGAGTCGACTTGCACCGTTTTACCACTTCGCTACTGAATTGTTCTCAAACGAAAAAAACCCCCATAACAATGAACATTGTTAATCCAAAAATTTATCCCCCCCCCCCCCCCCCCCCCCCCCTCTGAAGAAATAAATAAAAAGTGATAGGAAAATTGGCACATGGATTTCGATACGTCTTGTGGTTATACCCGAGATATTGGCCGTGGGAGATCTCATGTTCCCCACGGAGTGCGACGACAGGCGAATGCTTGGACTCGCAGTGGCACCGCTGAGTTGGTTGTCACGGGTACCACGACGTTGAAATGCACTGACATCTCGGACCCCCCGTCGCGACAGCCACCCCCTTGGAGTACGGGTTGCGAGTCGGAGCAACGGCCTCGAGGAAATTCCCATGAGCCACTCGACAGTTCTTGCATGCACCTCTCGTATCTCCCGTAAAATTTCATGAGAAAAAATCGCCAAAAATTGCAGAAACAAATTGTTGATAATACGGTTATTGCAGTGAGAGAAATATCGTCATAATATCACAAAACTAATTTTTTGCGCCGAATGTCTCATCCCTTGAGGATAAATTTCTTGGGATAAGAATTTCGGATAATGTGTCAGACAATGTCAGATTTCGGTGAAGTGTTCATGACTTGAACATGAACATTTCATGATAAAGTGAGAATTTCTTGCCACAAGATATCGGTTTTTTCGTGTCAGAAGGTGAGAAAATGACTAAAAACATTGAAAGCTTCGATTTAGTGAATCATGAATCAGAGACTTTCATATTGAATGAATAGAGAGTTTATGCAGAGGAAAACCTCCAGACATTAGAAAATCAGTAGCGAAGTGGTAAAACGGTTCAAGTTGACTCATCTCCCAGTTGAGTTTTTGAGGAATATTTCCGAATCTAAGGGAGATGGCGAAATTTTCATAATTACATTTGTTGTAGCTCTCAATCGGCTCTACAAAAAAGGTAATAACAAAAATTTTGCTATGTCTCTTACATTCGGAGATATTCATTACAAACTGGTCAATAGTCAAAATTGACTTGTACAGTTTTACCACTTCGCTACTAAAATATAACCGTCCCTTACGCTCGATCGCTTTGAGTTCGAAGTGAAGCAATATCTTCTTTTCCCTCTATCAAACTATTCTTGTCTTTTAAGGAATATTATCTCATTTCGAAAACAGACATCACCTTTTCATTCAGTAACTTCCTCCTTAGCCCGAAGAGCACCGATTTCTTATCTGAAACCTACAATAAATTGATCAGATATGCATGCGATGTTTTTCGCTCAAGAAATGATTTTTGTGATATTATACACAGCAAAAACGAATGTCTGAATTTCACACACCTTTTGTATACATTTTTCAGATACTAAAAAACGTCTGAATAAAATAGAAATTTGTCTGAATTCCAACCATGAATTAAGATGTTTGGGCAACTATTCTTCTGAAATTCAAACACGTTTTCATTTTATTCAAACGTTTTTTAGTGTCTGAGAAATGGCTACAAAAGGTATGTGAAATTCAGAGATTCGTTTTTGCTGCGTGTCGATTTTTCTCTTAATATATCATCAATATTATCGGTCAGCAAATAATTTTTAAAATAACAAATTATGAAAAATATTTTGACGAAATTAGTCGTATTGTGACGTTTGAGAGTTCTCAAAATGTTCATTCATCGATGACAAGTGGTCCGACGATGTGCGAACAATACCAAAGAGTCAGGGATCGAGGGAGAGGCCATTGTAGAATCGATTTCTGTCGCATTATACGATCCTAACGACAATGATCGAGAGCGGTGTAGGGAACGGAGTCTGGTGACACATGTCGTCGGTGGATATAAGCCACCACTCGAGGGTTGTACATTCACCAGAAGTATGAAAAAATATAAAGCAAATAAAGATGGTGAAAAACCTGGTGGAGAGAAACAGTTGGACACTCGATGTCGTCTCGAATGTCGTTTGACTGGCGTTTCTCAGTCCTCCACCTTCTTTTTTCATGCATTTATTGTATTCATGTTGGCTCGACTTTTTATCCTCAATTCTGTGACCCGACATACCTGAGGCCCATTGTACCGCGGCCTTTCATCATTTAAAGCTCAAATATTTTCACTGGAGTTCCTTTTTTATTATTTTTTTTCCGGTCAAATGGGGCAATTAGTTTGATGAATTCATGAACACTGGGTTAACCCTGGATTAATTACTTTTATTAGGATAAATTTGAGGTACTTCTGGTAAAATTTCATGAAACGTCTCAATTTACATCCCAAAACAATATCACCCGAAAGTTGGTCCCAATGGATTTCCGGAATTAAATTCTAAATGAATTAATTTATTACATTCTCATAAGTTATTGAGCTTTTATATCCTCATATGCTGGTGATGAAGACATCAATAACTGTCTGAATCAAATAAGTAATTATTTGTTAATTAATTGTTTGAATCAAATAAATAATGATTTTATGAAATTTGCGTTTTTTAGGGTTGTGTCGCTACAACTATGTACTATAAAATTTTACAAAAAGTTCACCGTGACCCTTATTTTGACTCTTCATTTCTGACCCTTGGTACTATTTAACTCTTAATTTCGAGTATCAAATTTTCATCACCGGAAGTCGATTTGGATTTTTATAATATACACTGTTGAAAATTTTCGTCTGAATTTTCCGTGTCAATCCCCGGAAATTTTGATCACGTTTGATTTTCACTGAAGTTTCAGGAAATCTTGTCATTGAAAAATCCAATTCTCTATTGATTTTCTGTTCGAATGATCTGAAAATCAATAAAATGCTCAATTTTTCAATTCAATGACTCCATGAAACTTCAACAGAAAGAAAGTTTCAAAAAGTTTCTTCATGAAACTTTTTTGAAATCAGGAAATTTCGAGGAAATATTGAAAATTCATGTCATTTTGCTTCTGATTATTCATGTTTCAATGAAAATTCAATTACGTTATGAAATTTCGGTCTCACTCCCACTGAAAACTCATGACTTTTCTTGAATTCTACCTAAAACTTGAAATTTCATAACTATTTTTGCCCTAAATCGGATTCAATATCACTCTCATGAGAATTACCATCACATTTTCCACGAAATTTCGAAAAATTTCTAAGTATAACTGGGGTATTATAAACGTCTTCCATGAAGAACAGGGACAATCGTAACGAAATCCCATTTTCTAGCAATAAACCTTAACTGACGATTTAGTTAACTAGAACTAGTGCCTCTGGTACTAAAAATATCTCCGAAAAAATTCTCTTTCGAATATTTTTTCGTGAAATTCTCATCATTCTTTTCCCCTTTAACTGAACCCTGAAGTCAACTCCCGGTGGAAATGAGGTCATTATCTGAGGGTTGAACACAAGATATCATTTTAATCATTCCCCATCTCATCGAGTCGATAAAATCCTCGACAACTCGTGGAGGTAATCAAGCTAAAGGGCATTAATGTCACAAGAGTAAAGGATATACGTTGGCAATGCACTGAGGTGCTTCCGGAAAAATATTGCTGTGGGGATTACCTTTAAAGAGATTGCCTGTGGTCTATTTCTAGGTGTCGTCCATCAACAGGGTACTGAGGAACCTAGCTGCGCAGAAGGAGCAGAGACAGCAGCATCAGCAGCAGCACAATCCCCAGCAGCAACAGGGCGTTGGAGTTGGCGCTGGTAGTCCTTCTGATAGTGTTTACGATAAGTTGAGGCTGCTCAATGGACAGACGACTGGGTGGCCGAGGCCAAATCCTTGGTATGTCGAACATGGGAATATTTTGCATTCGCTGTTCACTATTTTTTTAACCATCTGACTTGTCACAATTTCCAAAAATTTTCATAGTTTCATAAATTTATAAATTGCAATTAATTTGCCATTAGTGTGACACTTTTCAACGATTTTTTCATTTGTTAAATAGTAAAGTTTGTTTAACCGAAGAAATTTTTTTTTCTGGGTGTACCATGAGAGAGAAAAATTCTTTTGACAAAGAAGGGTTACTTGATAGAAGAAAATATTCTCTTGTTAATTTTAAGAATCGATAAAAATCTGAATCTGATAAAAATTGCAATTCCATTGAAAATTTCAGAATTTTTTTTTTGAAATTCCTGAATTAATTTTCCTACATTGTGACCCTTTTAATTTTTTCATTCCTAAATAGTGAAATTCATTTAAGCGAAAAAAATGCTTTTGACAAAAAAGGTTTACTTGACAGAAGAAAATATTCTCTTGTCAATTTTAAGAACCGTCAAATCTCCTGATAGATAATTTCGTTCTCAGATTGAACGAAAAAAGTCTTTCAGCAGGATAAGATTCTCCTGTCCCGAGAGATTTTTTAATCGTTCTCAAGACTCAAAATGCTGTCCTCCCTAAAATTATAAACCTAAACCTCGTAAACCTAAAAATTGCAGTTCCATCGAAAATTCCCGAAAACTTCCTTGAAATTCCTGACTTAATTTCGCAACAGTTTAAACAATTGCGCAACCCTTTTAAACAATTTCTTCATTCCTAACTAATAAAGTTAACCCAATGAAAAATATGTTTTCTCTCAGTATGTTTGGGTTAATTTATTTAACCCAATGAAAAATGTTTTCTCTTAGTGTAAATGAGGCAAAACCAAATTTCCAACTAGTGGATAGGGCTGTTGGTAGCTCGCTGCGCTTGCTCCCATTGCGGGTGGGTTGGTAGCAGATGCATTCATGTGGGTCTGACCCGTCGGACGGGTCGCACCAACAACTTCCCGATATTATTATTCTTCCCATTTTGACTAAAAGAATCCTTTTCAACTCTCAATACTCTGTTTATTTGTTCATGAGAAACACTTGTCTGTGTTCGTTGCTTTTTTGTCATTTTGAAATTGTCTTTCCGGGAAAACTCAAAAACCACTAAACAGATATCAGCCAAAATCTAATCCGCTCTAAGTTGAATGAAAACCTATCGATTGAAAAAAAAAGACAAATCGGACAATTCGTTCACGAGAAATCGTTAACCAAAATTTTGACCACGTACATACCTAGTAATACACACACACAGACACACACATACACACACACACACACACACACACACACACACATTATGTTTAAAATTGTCTAGGAACATCGAAAAGACCTTGAAACATGGAGATTTGATGAAAAATCGATTTTTGATTTTCGGGGCCATTACAATAACTTCCCTGCCGGGAAGTTAAAAATCGCAAATTAATGAATCAATCAGAGTAACGAATGAACAAAATTCTCTCCAAGGTACCCAACCGGTGCTGGAAGTCCATTTCCGTCTCTTCAACCGTCTCTGAGTCCCAGTCACTGTACAGCGCTCCCCCCAGATCCAGCGGACATTCTCCACGCGAAGAAAGGTAATGTACAGCACAATAATTCATTAAAAATCTTCTCGAATAACGGAAAATTCCTGAAACCCGGAGGCCGCAGGGCTGCCCTCCGGCCTTCCAGCGATAGCGTGCACAAGCATGTGTGGTACTGGCGGCTGACTGGAGCGGGGCAAAACGTTTTAATTAATTAATCCGGGGTAGCCCAGTGCTGCCCGAAAACGATACTAATATCAATGTAATTCGTGTATAGAGGTCTCGCGGTGTACCGCACCACATAATGTGGATCCCCGTTATTGCGAATAATAATTGTAACCAGGCGTGGATAACGCGGGTTTAATTCAGGGAGTGAGGACTATACGTTTGCTCACGCATGCACATACCTACATATGTATCACTTGTGCTCCCTTTGACGACGGATCAAACGCCCTTTATCCGTGAAAAAAAAAAGAGAATAAAATGTGATCCATAACGCGCGGAAATAATTCGCTGGAAAATAGAGGAGAAATGTTTTTTGTTTTCAGAACAATGTGACTGATTGCGGGGAGACCGCACTGAAATTTCGAAACCCCGCCGTCATCTATTGTGTTGATAGTTTATTGCTTTCGAGGTAAATTAGAAAACAACAGTAATTGGGGTTTTGATATTTTATTGATTGGGGATTGACTCCAATTTTGATTTATAATGTGTTGAAACATATGAAGCATATTACGAGCGTGTTGAAGATGATTCAACTACACTGTTAGAAAAAAATGAAATTTTATGGAGAGTTGACTAGTAGTTTTCAGGACAGTGACACTGAATGCGATTTAGGGGGAAAAATTTGAAATTTCAGGTTTCACTGAAAATTCAGTAAAATTCCAGAATTTTAAACAGCATAAAGACGAGAATTCCTTGAAATTTCAGTGGTAATTGAATTCAATAAAAATTGTCGAAAAGTGTACCGGAAATTTCCGATAAAATTTTTTAATAGTGTACATCGTAAACCATCGTGTACCATTGAAGTAGGAATTTTTTCAGATTTTTCGAATCATTCATCAGAATAATAAACAAATGGAAAACTAATTTCACGATGATTTCATGGGATTTAATGAGTTGGAAATGACATTGGGATAGAATTCTCATTTTGAGGATGTTTTAAAATATATTTGAAAAATCATCAATTTATTAAAATACGCAAAAGTCTGAAAATTAGAAAAAAAATTCCAATTTTTATGAACAGTTCCATCAAATTGAGTGAAAATTTTCCAATATTCCAGGATTTTCTCTTCCTAGCTTTTCTAACAAGATCTTCTAAAATGCAGAGATCATCAAAATGGAAAGCGTTATGCAAAAATTACCTCACAAATACGTAAAATGTCTGAAGTAAAAGGGAACTACACTGTTAAAAATTTGTGTCTGAAATTTCCGGTACACTTTTTGGAAATTTTTATCGATTTTAATTATGACTGAAATTTCAAGGAATTTCATAATTAAAAATTCAGAATTTCGTGGAAAAATCAAAAAGAGCTGTAACTTTCAGTTTCATTTTTCCCTGAAAATAAATAGAAAACCAGAAACCCCCCGTAAATATATTCTTGAATTTTCAGGACAATGACACTGAATTGGATTTAGGGGGGGAAAATCATGAAATGTCAGATTTCACTGAAAATTTAATGTAATTTGGCTCTGAATATTCGTATTAGATTGTAAATTCAAATAAATTGAGGAATTCTCGTCTTCATGCTGTTTAAAATTCTGTAATTTTACTGAATTTTCAGTGAAACCTGAAATTTCACGATTTTTCCCCCTAAATCGCATTCAGTGTCCCTGTCCTGAAAATTAGTAGTCAACTGTCCATGAAATTTCCTTTTTTTTCTAACACCTGTGACTTTTAAAAAATAAAAAAAACCGCGGAACAAAATATTCCGAATTTTTCGCCTGCACAGGACACGTTATATCACAGAAGGGAGAGGGAGTTGTTACAAATAGTAACTGTTGCCGAGCCCTCAACCGCACGCGGGCCCTCGGGGTTGGATTATACGGGCGGGGGTGTTTTCGTTAACTTGTTTCCAACCACATGGGGACGCACGAGAATGCCCAAGGGTACGTACAAGGGCCCCGCAAGAGCGACAGCAAATCAGATTACGTTCCAATCATCTTCACAAACTCTGATTTATTTTTTAGATAAATTTTGTTTGGCTTCATCTGGCGAAATCGAAGATCCACTTAGAAAATTGCGATATTTCATGCTAAATTATGGCAAGATGCGAACGTAGATTTCTATTTACTGAAATCCGTATTTTGCAATAGTTTAGAAAGGGCTCAGGCAAGAAGTTTTATTTTTTCTTCAAAAAAAAATCGTGAAATTTCAACAACACGTTCCGTAATTTTTCCGGAACTTTTCGTAAAAATTCTTAAACATGCAAGAATTTTCATGTTGTGAGACATAATAAGTCTTGAAGTTTCTGTTAGATTTTACAACTTCCGGAAAAATTACGTGACTTTTTCGTATTTTTTCGGTGACAGACCCGAAAATTTACTGAACGATTCAGATTTATTCTCTTATATTCCTATAGAAATTCACTGAAAACGATTCTCGCTTGCGTATTACGTGAAATGTTCCGTAATTTTTCTTGAATATTTCTCTCCGTGCATGTGTGCCATCTATCGGAATTCTAGAAAATTCTAGACATTTCGGGGTAATTCCAGAAGTTTTTTGAAATTTCGAAAAAATTCCAGGTGTTTCTAGAAATTTCGAGGAAATTCAGGGAGTTTCTAGAAAATTCGGGGAAAATTCAAGGGGTTTCCAGAAAATTTGAGGGAATGCAAGGAGTTTCTAGGAAATTCGAAAAAGAAGGAAAGACCATGGACGTATCCACGTACAATTACAGCTGTATCGAAGATCCAGCCGCCTGCAATTTTTTTTATTATTTTGACTTTTCAACCGAAACACCTGAAATGCTTCATTTGAGAATTTCCGTTTCTTCCTCCTCCTTCCCCATTTTCTAATATTCTGAGTATGCGAAAAAGGGGTCCACTGAGGATATGTCGAAGTACATGACACATTGGACGAAACGAAAGTCATTTTTCTTTCAACCCTGTGCCGAGGTGAAAAGACAATGCACTGTCGACCCCTTTCGGTGCAGCCTTTCACCCTGATCCCCGTTTTTTCCCTTTTATCTGGCCTCCTCGTGGAATTCTCAGTGCAGAGAGAGAGAGAGCTTTCTATACCCTTTGTCAGTCTCACCCAGTATAATTCCGAGGGAGCGGGGAAAAAAAGGTATTAGAAAATGGAAAATTGAAAATACATCTCTGCACATGCATCCGCAAATCCCTTTCATCCGATTCATTTCGCCCTTTCCCGATATGAATTGAAATGGATTCACTGATTTTTGTAAAACAATATGGCTCCACTGTGTTGGGCGTTTGTCGCTGAGGGAGCAGACAGTGGGGGCCATTATATTCTCGACCTCTTTATCTCCTCCTGAAGTCTTTTTCCTACCCCACTGTGTTTCAGCATTTTTGTCCCTTCTTTTTACTATTTTCTTGTGCCACGGCTTCACAGCATCGTAGTCGCTGCCATGCGAAAACCTTTTATCGTCGATCGAGACAATGCGCGTTGTATGCAGCGTTCCGATAAAGGTTTCTTCGTGGAAAATAAAAGGCAAAAACTGTGAGAGAGTTCAAAAAATGAATTCTGGGAAACTGTGAAGCACCGGGTATCGATGATTTTCGAGGCATTGTTTGGGCACAGAGAAAAATTCATCATGATGAGGAAAAAATCTAGCGAGTAGATGAAGCTAATGAGATTTCCGTCAATTTCTGAAAAATTAATAAATTGGGATAAGCGATTTTTTTTACTCAATTTTGCAAGAAATTTCTTTGGAATTAAATGAAATGAAAGTCTATTTGTTTCAAGCGAGAAATGTTCTGGTTATGAATTAATTGAACATTAATTAAGTCGGGTACACTGGTAGGCAAAAACGGAATTGATAGAGGGAGAAAGGAATCATGAAATGCCAGATTTCACGGAAAATTGAATGAAATTCCAACTTTTTGAGGGAATTCCTCAACTTACTTGAATTTTCAATGAAAAAATTATTTAAAATTCTAGTGAAAATCTCTTTTGTTATTCAAAACTTCCAATAAGTGTACCTGAAACTTTAGTTTAAGCGAAAATGTCTGAAAATTGGAACTTTTTCGTCAGCCTTTTAAGGAAAAATCCTCCTAGAAGGAGTGGAAATTTCACATATTTCCAAGATTTTTGCTGTATAAATTGTATCAAAACAATTCCTTGAGTAATTCCATCAATTTCAATAACCCAATTGAATGATTGACCGAATTGATACCCAATTCGTGAATCCGTTCAAAGAAAAAATTCTTTAAAATTAAAGTGAAAATCTTTTTTGTTTTTTTAAATTTCCAAGAACTGTACCTGAAAATTATAACTTTTTCGTCTGATTTTCAAGGAAAATCCTCTTAGAAGGAGTGGAAATTTCACATATGGCCAGGATTTTTGCTGCATAAATTCTCTCAAGACAATTCCTCAACTAATTCCATCAATTTCAAGGAAAATACACTGTTAGAAATTTTTCGCAAATTAAGCAGTAGTTGCGGTTGAATTCTCAATATTATGAATTTGAATTCAATTTAAGATCAAATCGTCCATGGAATCTCTCATTCAGGTTGGAAATTCGCGGAAATCGTTGCTTGAATCCTCAAATTATTTCACACTTTTGATTATCATTTCTGTATAAATTCTCTCGAGACAATTCCTTGAATAATTCCACCAATTTCGAGGAAAATATACCCAATTCGCGGATCCTTTGCTCAGCATTTCAAAAAATAAATTATGCAATAGGAGAATAAATCGCCTGCCACTTCATTCGCATTCATGCCCGCATTGAACAATCCAAGGAATGCGTTCTGTTGCAATAGCCATCAACATTTTTTGACATAATTATCACGAGTACCTCGGGTCCCCCGCACAACCCACGCCCTCGATCCACTCCCCCTCGAGATCCTTATCCAATCGACCATAGGGATAG